AGAAGATGTTTCCCATTGTTGCATTTTTTCTTATATATACTCGTTTAACAGGTCACCAAATAAGCATTTTATTATCTTGATGTCTACTTAGGCAAAACTATGCGAGGTGGACTATTTTTGGTTACTAGTTCATCTCTCACATGGTGATGTGAGCAGCTTGGGTTAAGTGATAAACCCATATCGACCAAACACAATGATATAATATGTAGCATTGGAGTATTTTTATAAGGCCTCATTCATTTTTTTGGGAAGTAGGGGTGGATAAGTTAGTAGGTCCTATGGAAAAGAAATAAACCCACATTCATTTTCCAGTATTAGTGGGTTCTACAAAAAAGAATAAGTCCCAAGCGGATCATTTACCTGGAGAAGTAATACTCTCTTTAGACTTGGATAAATTACTTACCCATGTGTGTCAAAAATCATTAATGTGTGATGGGACAACATTGTCCCTTCAATAATGCCACTTATAATGTCATTTTTGGATAAATTGGTCATTGTACACCTTTACTTGGGAGTATAAGAACACTGATAAGTGCTCATATCTGGATAAGTGTTTCCCAAGGAACACTTGCCTGGTTAAGTGTATTTATCCAAGTAAGTCATTTAATAAGACATGAACAGGACCTAAATATTGCCTTGATGATTGAGTATAGGTATACTATTTGTGAGACAAATGGGATTCAAATTAGTCAAACCCTACCTGTTGACATCACTACTCTCACATTCCAAAAGAAACAAATTCATAATCCATTGGAGTGTGATCATATTTTGATATATTAGTAGTTTCATACGTGCGATGGTTTGTTTCTCTTTCTTTTTGCTTTCTTAGAAACAAAAACAAGTGTTTTGAGGGATGGGGACCCTTAATCTTAGGCAACAAAAATAATTGCATGTGTAGTAAAATAGTGATATCCAATAGGAATTCCAATAGTAGGATGATATAAAACCAAATTAAGTTGGGGTTCTTTCGATGGCTTGGGAGAGAGAGGTATGCAGTTTTCAACAGTTAGAACACAACTAGGTAACCTATATTATCACATTTAGGCCACATTCATTTACAAAATTTTCACTGACTCAAGTAAATATTTCTTAGGTAACGCTTACCTGAATAAATTCACTTACCCATGTTCTTTTGATTCCCAAGTAAATAATGTAATGACTTTTGACTTTTTTACCCATAAAAAAACTAATGTTAAAATGAGCAAATTTGTCTTTTCCCATAAGTGGAAAAGTCACTTATCCACCTGGTAGATGAATAAATTTTACCGAGGTCAATGAAGCTCTTTTTATCATGGGGCCCACCCACTGGCCAACTCCCCCCATTTATCGGTAAACAAATGGGCCTAAGTATAATATTCTCTTGACCATGGATAATGTGTCTTTATCATCCACTTTTGGTAGGAGCTATTTTGCTTTAATCTTTTTTTTTTTTCAATTAAACCTGAGGTAGCATTTATATTTGCACTGAACATCTGTACATATTTAGGCCCTATTTGGCAATGTTCCCACCTGTTTCTATTCTTGAGGAAATTCCTTATCTGGAATAGGAATTTTGTTTCTTGCTCTTCAAGAAAAATAGAGGTTTTTGGCAATTTGTTCTTCGAGAACATATTTTTGTTTTATATATAGAAACAGAAACAACGTTTGTATAGCACAAGTATTTCTTAATATTAATTCTGCAATCTATCAACATATTTTGCATTGTTGCAAGTCATTAAACCTAAAATTAACAAAAAAAAAAAAAAAACAAGTGCCATTGTGAGTCTCAAGTCACATGAATCATAATGGTTCATTTTCCAATTATATTTGACTTGAGCTATAAAACAATGAATAATTATGGATATTCAATAGGAACACTGAACTACAAGATCAATTCTAGGGGGAACCCAGGTTGGGAGTTGGAAAAGGGAGTAGACGGAAGCTCAAATTGTTAGGAATTTCAAGGTAGATAGAGTTCAGATTGTTAGGAAGTAGTTAGAGTTATGAAAACCAACCTAGTTTCATTTCACGCAACCTAGGTTGGGAGTTGGGAAAAGGAGTAGATGGAAGCTCATATCATTAGGAATTTCAGGGTAGATAGAAGCTCAAATCGTTAGCAAATTGGGAAAATAAACCATATCTGTGTAAATGATAGTTGTCAGTAAGCAAACATCAAAGAGTTGTTGCAGTGTTCACCTTGAAAGAATACTAGTAGAGAGGAAAATCGAATGAGAGGCAAAACAAGGTATCTAGTAACAAAGAAAAAGTGATGATAAGGAAGACAAGCAAAGCAGCGTTTACCATCAACAGTAAGCAAAAACGGTGCAAAACAAGAGTATTCACCGTTGGCAATGAGCAAAACCGAGTGCTCACCGAAGTCCCTAATCATTCGCCAAAAATCCAACGCTCATCGCTCCTTGGTTGTGTGACGGTAAAGAGAAGTCAAAGGAAGAAGAAAACCATTAGATTGGGAAAATGTCTAAAATGCCCTTACTCTCACGTGGGAAGCAAGGCATATGTATTCGTAAATTTGAAGGATGATGTGAGAACCGCGTATTCTCTGAGAACATGTTCTTTGAGAGTGTCGATTTGTCACTCCCAAAGAATATGTTGTTTGGGTGTTATTCTCACACGAGAATGACTCATTTTTCTCACTTTTATTTTGCCAAACGTGTTTTTGCTCTACGGGAACGCCATAAACAAGAGAAATATTCTAACGGAACGTTGCCAAACAAGGCCTTACATTCTCCTCAAATGGAACTTTCCTTCAACTTTCTTTTTGTCTTTAATATTTTATCCAACCAAACATAGCCTAAGGTTCTCTTGTTCCAAGTTAGAGTATGGTCCTTGTTAATACCCAAATTGGACCAAGCATGCATCGTGGTCACATCACTCTCTTGTAACCCCCTAATTAAACAAAACACACCAATCTTTTATGATTTTTTTGTATTTATCTCCATTTCCATAGTTGATATATGTTTAAATTTTAATAGACATTATACCATACGTAGGTTTCATGTGTACGGAACATATAACATTGAGGTATTCATTTATGATTGATTGTGTAGTCAAGTTTACACACGATTTCACACTGGATTAGAATTCGTTGCATGAATATTTATAACCACCCATGAAAAAGAAAGGAAAAGAATTTAAATGGCTCTTGACGTGGGGGTGCTCATTAAAACCAAAAAATCAAAAATCAAAAATCAAAAATTCGAATTGAACTGACAAAATTAAACCATAAATTCTGATTAATCGAATTGATCGGTTTGATATTTTTGAAAATCGAAGGTATCAATTCGATTTCAGTTCGAATTAAACCAAAAATTCAAATTGAACTGACAAAATTAACCATATATATACCTATTTATTATAAATAAATATAAATGCATTATATAAAATATAAAATATATTATTTATATAGCATAATATATTATATATATTTCTAATATTTATATTATATATATTTATGATATATTATAAATATCAAAAAATAAATAAAACCGAATCGATTAATTTTGGTTCAATTTCTGATGAGGGCGGATTTGGCCCTCTAATGACATTGTGACAGATGGCATCTCAGAATAGCTAGATGACACCTAGGCACCACCTAAGTGATGATTTGGAGTCCCAAATTGCAACTCATCTTTACCCCGACTTGGCGACCTGCCTTTACACTGACCTAGCGACCTCGACCACAACTTAGGTCGCTTGTAGCACCTCGTCCAGGGTTAGCCTGTAGCACCTTGTCACTGGCCGAAGTGACATCGATGCGAGAAGCGATCTCCCTCGAGGGCTTGTCGACCTGACTAAGGACTAGGCGGTGGTGACCTACGAGATGTGCTCACCGACAAATTTGGCATGCATATCCCGACGCTCCCAGGTTTCTCAAAAGTTGGCCCACGTATCAAATGTTCCGGAGGATGGTCAACGTGCATGGTGGTTACCTCCGAGGATCTCAGACCAGTTAGGCACGACCTCTCGGAAATCTCAGATGCGGTGCGTTTGGCCCAAACCAAAAATGCCTATATAAAGGCACCAACCCCAATGACATAAGAGAGAGGCGAGTAAGCACATTCTAGCTCTCATACTTTATGATTTTTTAGCTCGCGATCTACTACGAGAGTACTAACTTAATCATCGAAGCGACCTCGCCGGGTTAGCCACACCAGGTCCTCAACAATCAACCCAGCTCGGCACCCAATCTACCCCTAGCTCGGCCTAGTCAGTTCGGCATCCAAATCCTCATCCAGCAAAAATCCTCCACTTCGGCCTCTAAATCGTTGGCCACCTGGAAGTAGTCCGAACAATAGGGTGCTGCCAAAAAACCCTTCATCAATTTATTATAGCATAATATATTATATATCTTTCTAGTATTTATATTATATATATTTATTATATATTATAAATATAAAAAAATAATAAAAACCGAATCAACTGATTTCGGTTCAATTTCCATTTACATTTTTACAGTTTTCCAAAAATCGGTGATATTGATTTATTTGGTTGGGGAAGGTGAACTTGACATATTGAACCCCTCTATGGTGTTTACCAAAAAAAACCCTCCACGATAACAATTAATCAAATTTACAAGAACTTGTCAAGCCATAAACCCCAATTTGCTGAAAAAACAGAAAAGCAATAAATCCAATACAATGTACTCAAAATTTAGGGTTGTTGGATAACAAATAAGACCGCTATATTTGTTACAGTACCAAAGATACAGTTCCAACCCACAAAATGGGTATTAAGCACTCTGTTTGACCAGCTAAATTACAGATCACAGAGCATTTACAAAGAGTAAGAGAAGGATCAGATCCTTCACATTTTAAGCTTCATTGGGGTTAACTTTCAACTTCAAATTTTCATGTCACTGGCCTAAATATTTTCTTTTCTGTTTGTGTACTGATAACTGATTAGCTCATTAATCTTAAGATAGAGCTTTGGCCAAGTAAAATTTTGAAGAGGAGTCAATAAAAAAATATAAAAGGAAAAAACAGGAAAACCTCAGACCTCACCAAATGCCAACTAGCAGTAGTTAAATTCAAGAACAAGTAACAAACTAAACCTGTCGGCAGCCCGACCAGACACTGCGAGAAGTTGAAGCAGAGAGACACCAATTTCAATTAAACTACAAAGAGATTGAAGGGTCAAAATCCAGACGTGAAAAACACGAAGGAGAAGAAGAAGGAAGAGGAAGAAGAACAGCAGTTCCAGTTTCAGTTTTAGCTTCAGTCCTGATTCCAGTTTAGGTTGTTTTGGATCAAATGTTGGTCCAAGACCGTTCATCCCCCAAACCATCTAAATCCCACCTCAGAAAACCACCTCCTCTCCCTACAGATCGTTTTTCTGAACCCAAAAACCTTGATTTTTCCACATGGGTTTCCGAGAATCTCTACAAAATCGTCACAATTTCTCTCCTTGTCGTTGCAGTTGCCGTTCTCATCTTCCTCCGCAATGTTGGCGACACCGCCGCTTTCCTCTGTTTCAAAAACCGAGCTAGGGAGCTCGAGAAGATAGCCTACCCTGAAATTAAATGGAATGCGATCCAACCCATTGTCGACAAATCCTCTCCTTTCGCCGCTTTCCGCTCCGAACAATGGATCGTCGTCTCCGTTTCCACTTATCCCACTGAGTCGCTTCGCAATCTCGTAAAACTTAAAGGTTGGCAGGTCCTCGCACTTGGCAATTCGAAGGCCCCTTCAGATTGGAACCTCAAAGGTGCGATTTTTCTATCTCTAGAACAACAAGCCAATTTAGGGTTTCGAGTTGTGGATCACCTCCCTTACGATTCCTATGTTAGGAAGACGGTTGGGTATCTCTTCGCAATTCAGCACGGAGCGAAGAAGATCTTCGATGCGGACGATCGTGGAGATGTAATTGACGGAGATCTTGGCAAACATTTTGATTTGGAACTGGTTAGTGAGGGTGCAAGGCAGCAGCCAATCTTACAGTACAGTCATGAGAATCCAAATCGAACTGTTGTAAATCCTTACATTCATTTCGGGCAGCGGTCGGTCTGGCCGAGAGGTTTGCCTCTGGAAAATGTAGGTGAGCTCGGCCACGAGGAATTTCTCACAGAAGTATATGGTGGTAGGCAATTCATTCAGCAAGGAATATCGAATGGCCTCCCGGATGTCGATTCGGTTTTCTATTTCACACGGAAGTCTGGATTGGAAGCTTTTGATATTAGGTTTGATGAGCATGCCCCTAAAGTGGCATTGCCACAAGGTATGATGGTGCCTCTGAACTCTTTCAATACGATTTTTCACTCTTCTGCATTTTGGGCTTTGATGCTTCCGGTTTCTGTTAGTTCAATGGCTTCCGATGTGTTGAGGGGTTACTGGGCACAGAGGCTTTTGTGGGAGATTGGTGGTTATGTTGTCGTTTACCCTCCCACTATTCATCGCAATGACAGGGTAGAGGCATATCCATTTTCAGAGGAGAAGGATCTCCATGTGAATGTGGGCCGTCTGATTAAGTTTTTGGTCCAATGGAGATCTGGAAAACATAGATTGTTTGAGAAGATCTTGGAATTAAGTTATTCGATGGCAGAAGAGGAATTCTGGACTGAGAAGGATGTGAGGTTTACTGCTGCATGGCTTCAGGACCTGCTTGCTGTTGGTTACCAGCAGCCAAGGCTGATGTCTTTGGAGCTAGATAGGCCGCGGGCAACCATTGGTCATGGAGATAGGAAGGAGTTCATCCCTCGAAAACTACCGTCTGTGCATCTTGGAGTTGAGGAAACAGGGACAGTAAATTATGAGATAGGGAACTTGATTCGGTGGAGGAAGAACTTTGGGAATGTTGTGTTCATCATGTTCTGCAGTGGACCTGTGGAACGTACTGCTTTGGAATGGAGATTGCTCTATGGAAGAATATTCAAGACTGTAATTATTCTAGCAGAGCAGAGCAATGCAGATCTTGCTATTGAACAGGGCAACTTAGACCTAGCATACAAGTAAGTTAGATTGCATTTTTTTTTCTCCACTATTCGTTCATTCATTATATATTCTTATGCAAAACTGCTGTTGAAAACATTGTTAGTGATGTTAAAGTTACCAATCCAAAATAAAAAGGAGAAATCATTTTTAGTAATATCTTCAACTAGAACTGGACTGGGTCAATGTGAAAATCTTGAGAAGTATTGCCTGTGAGCGCATCAAATATTGTGGGGCCCTTACAGAGTCTTGAATTTATAGAGCAAGTACAATAATTAAGAGATCATCTAACGAGTGCCTATCTTAGTGCAGCTGGTACCAGAAGTTCCATGCTCATTATAAAATGATTTGGTTCTTTTTTCCTGTCATTGGACATTTAGGGACATTCTTGTTTGTTTGTCTGAAAACCCTCATGCTGTCATGCATGCCACTTCAGGAGATACAGAAATTAAATTGCTCGAGTAATTTGAAATCATATATTGTACAGAAGGCCCAGAGTTTTATGTAAAGGGAGGAGGAACCTTCTTAAAAAGGAAGATATCTGATTTAAAGAAAAATCTCACCACGCAGCTGTAACACCAGACAATATGTATGGAACAATATGTAGGGCAATCAAGAAACAACATATCAACAAAATGCATTCTGCAGAAAAGGAAGATGCTGAGATGGATCAATGGCAACACTAACATGGTAGAATTGGAAAACTGTGCTTCTATAATCCAAGGGGTAATCAAACATGTGATCAGGATTAAAAAAAAAGTCAATAAGATGGCATAATCATGTGTGGTAGACAATTGAAGGCACCAATAAGGAAATGCTACCCCATGCAAGGCAAGGATTCCAAAAGATCACAGCCTCTTGCATATGGTCATTTGGTTTATATGAGAAGAAAGGAAAACTATAATGTTCTAGAAGGCAAGATCCTTACAGAGATCAAAGAGATTTATAGGAGTTATCAATCATCGCAGAGTGGAATGTGAGAGGACTGGGTAGTGCAAGGAAAAGAGCAGTAATAAAAGGACTCATCCGGAAAATGGACCCCGATGTGGTACTATTACAGGAAACAAAAAGAGCAGAATTTGATACCAAATGGGCAAGGAGTGTGTGGAGGAGTAGGGGGATTAGTTGGGCAGTCCTACCATCTTGGGGATCAGCAGGGGGGTGGTGACATTGTGGGAAAATGAGGTAGTGGAAGGCCTAGAGGAATTGGTAGGACAATCCACAGTCTCATTGAAATTTAGGCAAGTGGAAGATGGTTTTGAATGGGTATTAACCAATGTGTACGGGCCAAATGACTACAGAGAAAGAAGATTATTATGGAAGGAGTTGGCAGACATAAGGGGTTTGTGGGAAGGTCCATGGTGCCTAGGAGGTGACTTTAATGTAATAAGATTTCTGGGAGAAACAAATAGTTCTAGGCAGAGGAGCACCACAAGTATGAGGAGGTTTAACCAATTCATTGAGGCCTTTGAATTAAAAGAAATTCCACTGTCACAGAGGTGCTATACTTGGTCCAATCTCCAAACCAATCTAATTTGCTCTAAGTTGGACAAATTCCTATTTACAAACAACCTGGAAGAACATTGGGGGAATCTGAACTCTAGAGCACTCCCAAGGGTGACTTCTGACCATTGGCCTATTGTACTTTGTAAGGAGGAGGTGCGTGGTGCGGGCCCAACTCCATTTAGATTTGAGAACATGTGGTTAGAGCATCCGGGGTTCATTAGGAAGGTTGAAGAGTGGTGGGTAGAGAGCAACCCAACAGGGGTGTGGTATGGAATGAGGTTTCATAAGAAGCTCCAGTATCTGAAAGGGAGAATCAAGGAATGGAATCTACTAGAATTTGGGAGATTGGAGGAAAGGAAACAAAATGCGATCACACAAATTGTGGAACTGGACAATAAAGAAGGGAGGGAAGGCCTAATTGAAGAGGACAAGGAACATAGGTGGAGTTTGAGGAAACAGTTAGAAGATTATATGCTTCAGGAGGAAATAAGTTGGAGGCAAAAGTCAAAATGCAAGTGGTTAACAGAGGGGGACAGGAACCCTAAATTCTTTCATGCCTTGGCTTGTGGTAGGAGGAGGAAGAATTCTATTACTAGATTGGAAATTGAAGGGAACAACATCACAAGCTAGAGGGAAATAGCAGGAGCATTTGCAGATCATTTTAGGAGCATATATAGAAGGCCACTGAATAATAGGGTATGGTTAGAGGGCTTGGATTGGCCAACACTGAAGATAGAAGAGAGGGATTGGTTGGAGAAGAAATTTGAGTTGGAATAAATAAAAGAGGTGGTATTTTTGATGGATAGATCAAAGGCACCGGGCCCAGATGGTTTTACGATGGCTTTTTATCAAGATTGCTGGGAGATCTTAAAGGAAGACATATTGTTGGTATTTGATGAATTCCATACCAGAGGAGTGATTAACCCGGGGCTAAACTCCACATTCATTGCTTTAGTTCCCAAGAAAAGTGAGGCAAGCCACCCAAAGGACTACATGCCGATTAGTGTAGTTAACAACCTTTATAAGATCATCACGAAAGTGCTGTCAATTAGAATCATGAAGGTGCTACCATCTATCATCTCGAACAATCAAGGAGCTTTTGTGAGGGGGAGACAAATAACAGATCAGATACTGGTAGCAAATGAGAGTTTAGAGGATTACAAGAGATCCGAGAGAAGAGGAGTGGTCTGCAAACTAGATCTRGAAAAGGCTTATGATATGGTTGATTGGTCCTTTCTATTGGAAGTGATGATGAATTTTGGGTTTGGAGATATCTGGTGCGATTGGGTGATGGGATGCATTAAGGATTATCACTATTCTATCTTGGTGAACGGGACAGTGGTGGACTATTTGGAGAGTTGGAAGGGATAATGTACCACTTACACATCTACAATTTGCAGATGATACGATTTTGTTTTGCGAAGGTGGGGATGCCAATTGGATTAAAAATTTGAAACTCTCTATGCAGCTCTTTGAACAAATGTCAAATCTTAGGGTGAATTTTGAAAAAAAGTTGTATAGTTGGAGTCAATATGGGGGAAGAGGAGATGGGGGAATTTGCAGATATTTTGGGATGTGCGGTCTAATTGGCCATCAAACTACCTGGGCTTACCATTGGGAGATAATCCTCAAAGAGATGATTTCTGGGCCCCTGTTGTGGAGAGATTTGAAAAGAGGCTGGCCAACTGGAAAAGAAATTATTTGTCCCTTGGAGGGAGAATCACCCTAATTAGGTTTACGTTGGCTAACCTTCCTGTATATTTTCTGTCAGTTTTTAGGATACCGGTGAAGGTGGCTAATAGGTTGGAAAAGCTAATGAGGGATTTCCTGTGGGAGCTGGAGGAGAAGAGGGACCATAGGGTCAAATGGGAGGTGGTTTGTAGAGATAGAAAGGAGGGAGGGTTGGGTATTGGTAATATTAGGACTAGGAACCTGGCACTACTAGGAAAATGGTTATGGAGATTCTCACTGGAGAAAGATAGGTTGTGGGTTAAAGTGGTGGGAAGTATACATGGACTGGCAGATAATGGTTAGGATTCAAGAATTCTAGCAAGGGCCACAAGAGCTTCCCCTTGGAGAGCCATTCAAGCCATCTTGCCTTTATTCTCTCCATGGATCAGGTATGACTTGCATTCAGGTACCCTTATCAAATTCTGGGAACAAGTCTGGGTTGGGGACTTCCCTCTGAAAGATCAATTTCCAGGCCTTTTTGCTTTGTCCTCCCTCAAGAATGAACCAATTTCTTCCTTTATTGCTCCTTCTAAGTCACCCTCTGGGTTTGGTTGGAACCTAAGCTTGAGAATAGGTGTTAGGGACACAGAGATTGCCTGTACCATAGCCTTACTTTCTATCCTTGAAGGGGTCTTTATTGATCCATCTAAAGCAGATACCAATTTCTTCCTTACATTCTATCCTTGAAGGGGTCTTTATTGACTTGTATGACCCGCTTATTAAGACCTTTTAGCTCCATCCCGTTGTAATCTTGTTTTTATCATTAATAAAATTTCACTGTTACTGATAAAAAAAAATCATTGCAGAGTGGAAAACAGTGGTTAGATCTTGGCCATACAGAGCTCAGCCCTTTTTCAGTTTACCATTTAGTTAAAGTTTTGTGCTTTTCCCTATGTAACCTGTAACCATTGTGGGCTATAGTAGTATTAAGAGATGGTGATAGGTTTGGTGGTTCTAGAATACCTATGACAGTTGATATTGGGGGTTTATTGAGAACTGAGCTCATGTCATTTGATATAAGAGCTCAGGTTATTGGTCAAGAAAGCATACCTCAGAGGATGCATCAATGGAGACTCTATTTTCTGATAGAATAGACAAGGGATTGATAGTTCCAGTGGCTAATGGAAACTATGATACCAGTTTGGAGTCTACCTTTTCCTCTTTACTCTACCCCTACCCCTCACCCAATTGGTAAAAATTTATGCTAAGAGGGAAATGAAATGTGTGCAAGAACAATACAGGGGCAGGAAGATGAAAACAAACAGAAATAGCAAAAGAATTGACTTGCAGAAAGCCACACTTTATCAAGTCTCATCTATTAACAAGCCTCTGCAAGAATCAAAGCAATATAAGGACCTAACCACTGCATTTTCCACTGGTCAATAACTCTCTTAACCCCTTATTTTAACTCCCCAATCCTATGTGCAGGTTCATTTTTTTATGGTGGAGGTAGTCATATTCAGCTCTTGCCTAACCACTGTAATCTCTGTCTTACCTGATCTATTGTCTTTGGACAAATCAGACTGGCTTCCATGGTCTCCGTTCAAGCTGTCCTGACCCTTCTTAACCTGTTATTTTCATTTCTCTAAACTCTAAACATTTTTCTTTTCCTGTTTACGCTGCTGATCCTACATCTTTCTTTCATTTCTTTACAATAGTCTAGCAATGACCCATGAGCTGGAATGCTCCTCTTTAACTCTTGATGCAAGAACCCTATTTCTAGGGTTGAAGGGACTGAACCATTTGCTTCAACAAACAATCAGTAACTAGGTGGAAGGTGACTCTAGACATGGTATTGCATGAGCTAAAGTTCAGGCTTCAGGCCCTTGGAAACTGCCCAACCTCTTAACTTGAAATCTCTGTACATCTCCTAATGTAACCCTTTCTCCAACTAGGTGGAAATTCTATTGTAAGAAGCACAATCTCAAGAGCTGTAAGTGTTGGTTGGGGTCTTCCCCCTTGTACTGAATTGTCCCATTTTTGCATGGTCCCAAAGAGACCTATTGCCATTTCATCCTTCAAATTTGACTTCCTTGTTCCAAATCCACATCTTATTTCCTCACATTGCAGCACAGAGTCTCATCCCCACCTATAACATCCTAAACATCGCAGCCCCTTGCTAGATTATATCCCCTCCCGGGCCTAACTTGATCCAGCCAATATATTAGCTGATAAGGATGAATTATGAGTACTTTGCCTAAATATCACAGCACTGGGTCCCTTGAGGGTTTTGGGTCTTGGCAGCAAGGTTGTTTGGATGTTTCAAGAGCTGGGAAGGGGAGAAGGTTTTGTTTTTTTAAGGGGTCTGGAGGGATTTGGTGATTGGTTGTTGAGTTTTCTCCCTTTTTTGTGGGTGATATCTTGTCACCTTCTTGTATCTTCTTTTCTTTTTTAATATTTTTTATTTTTTATTTATCACCAAAACAATTAATACTTTGCCTTTACTCAAAAAAACAAATGTTAGTTGATAGTATTCCAAGAGTGGGAATCTTGAGGAGTGAACGAAACTTCACCGTGAGGAGTCTTGGGCCTCTTTTTTTGTGATTCTATTCTTCTTGTCTTCCTGTATGCCTCTTCTATACAACCTTTTTTTCTTATAATAAACATACCTTTGCCAACCAAAAAGTAATTCAATCATATCAACCAAACACTAGGGGAATTCTAGATTGAGACAAAATGAGAATGGATAAAATTAAGAAAATGTCCTTCGAGTCACAAATACCACAGAAGCAGCACCAAAAAATATAGTAGGTGATTTAGACATAAAATTGGTAATTGCAGATTTGAAAAAATACACAAGGTGTCTTTGTGGTACTATATTTTTTATACGAAATGGTTAGACCTGGCAATTGGGTTGGGTGGGTCGGGTTCGGGTTGGGTCAAAGTACTTCGGGTTGATTTCGGGTTGGGTTGGATTTCGGGTTTGGTTGTCAAATGCTAGACCCTAACCCTAAATATTCGGGTTAGGGTTGACCCATGGGTCAATTCGGGTCATCCCAAAAAATAATTGAAATTTAAACAAATAAAAAAAATAAATGAAAAATGTCAAAATTAAAAGATTTAACCTTAAAATTCCAAATATAAAATAAAAAACTTGAACATTTAACAGTTTAAAGAGTAAACAATAAAAAGTAAAGACCAAATAGAAAAAATTAAAGAGTGGAAACTTCTAACAATGCATAAATAATCCCAATTAGGCTTGACAATCGGGTCAGTGGGTTGACCCATGACCCAACCCAGCCCAACCCAACCCAGTTTTTTCGGGTTGGGTCGGGTTGGGTCATTTTCACATTCGGGTAGCAAATATGAGACCCTAACCCTATTTTTTCGGGTTGGGTTGGGTCAACTTTTTGCCAGGTCTAGAAATGGTTCTAGCTTGTGTAACATTTGTACCTTCCTCTCATTCCATATGTGATTTTTTATTTATTTACTTCTTAGAAAATGCTCCAAAGGATATGGAAGTCCTATGTACATGGGTTAAAAGTGCTAATTCCTTTGCTGATGGATTGGCTAGGCAAGGAGTTTTTAGAAATTCTGGGTTTTGGGCTCAATTGTAAGGTTTTGAGTGTTTAATTYRGATGTATTTCTGTTCTGGGGAGTTAAGATTCTTTAGCTCCTCTTCCCTGTAACTTTTTTCCAATATTAATGAATTCTGTGGTTATTGATAAACACAAAAATGGATAGGGAGGTGGACAAAAATTATAAACATGGGAAAACTATGTTAGTTGGCATATTGACTATTGAATGTGCTTAATTAATGCTGAATAAACACACGCACACGTGCACACACACACACATAGATGGTCTAATGCTCTAGTTCATGCTGGCAAATGTAAAACGATTTGTGCAGGTATCTACCTAAGATATTTGACCGTTTTACAAGTGCGGAAGGGTTTCTATTCGTCCAGGATGATACCATTCTTAACTACTGGAATCTGCTGCAAGCAGACAAGAATAAACTGTGGATTAATGATAAGGTAATCGGCTTCTAATGTAGCTCCCAAGCATGCTGTTCTCTCTCTCTCTCTCTCTCTCTTAAATTCTTATCATTTTTGTGTTGACCAGGTATCCAATTCTTGGTTCACTGTTTCCACCACTGGCAAGGACACAGAGTGGTTTGCAAGTCAAGCAGACATGATCAAGAAAATTGTGAGCACGATGCCTGTTCACTTTCAGGTCAGTTACAAGGAAAGTAACACTGCTGAGCAGAGTGTAACCCTATGCACATCTGAAGTATTCTATGTGCCTCGGCGCTTTGTGGGAGACTTCACTGAGATTGTAGGTTTAGTGGGAAAGTTAGATATCCATCACAAGACTGCAATACCTATGATCTTTACAGCAATGGATTCACCACGTAATTTCGATTCTGTTCTCAATACGATGATTTATCGGTCAGAAGCACCAGTTAATGATACCTTGAGCTTTTATTCATCCCAAGCAACAGCAGTCCATCCATGCAAGGTGTCCAGTGAGTCCGAATTCATAAAGTTGATAAGATTCATGGCTGAAGGTGACCCACTTCTGATGGAGCTGGTTTGAATGGGGAGGTTGTGGGCTGTGGGTACCATTCAGATTCAAACAGCAAAAATCAAGAAACATGTACCACTTGGTTAGCTATTACACCAAATTCTGTAATTTCCTTTTTGCCTTTATTTATTTTTTCTTGGGAGAGGGGGCAGGGATTTTTTGTTTATAGATTTTTTGTTGTATTATTATTCATTTACAGGGTGAAGATTCCCCTCACACATTTGTGTTTATCATTTCTATTGGTTTCAGAATACATAGGAAGAGAAGAGGAAATATCTCCTCGAACTACCTGTAGGAAGGTTCCGATTGTCCCATGGTAATATACTCATCCAAGAGAATCTATATAACAAATCGAGTCAATATTTGATTACCCGTTGATTGGGTGGCCCACACAAATAGTTGAAGGGTGCAGGTTGGGGCCAATCCATATTCCAGAGCATCTTTTACTTCATGAACACGAGCCATTGAGCACTCTGGATTTGGCCTCTTAGACATTAGTCCTCACTCCTCCGCATTAGGAAAGATGAAATTAAAGGCTTCAAGAATAAAATAAAATCGCAATAGGCTTTAAAAAAAATAATGAAAACAATATAGCAATTTCACAATGTATGAAGTTACGGGCAACATTGTATTTCCTCTAGGTCGACTGTCATTGGTTCAACCGTCTGCCCAATGGGTCAACCCATGATACCAAGGTAATAAAAAATTATAATAATGAGTGGTGTGGGTGGAACCCAACAGATTCAAACACACCACACCTTATAGTGACCATATTATTGAACATTATATATATATATATATATATATATATATATATATATATATATAAACTTTGTAACTTAATAAGCGGGTCATACAAGTCAATGGTTCAAACATCTGGTTAAAGGGACGTTCACCAAGTTTAAGATATTTGCTATATGACAGTATGACAGGTTAGATGTTAACCCAAACCGGAAATGTGACCAAATTACCGGATCATTAGTTTGAAAAAGCCCATAAAAGGTTACAATATGGATTGATACACATTGGCTTTGGCATCTATTTGATGTAAACATTGAAACAAAGAAAGAAATGGATTCCAGGTCAAATGCAAAATGTACTTCCGGCCAGACTATTTGACCAGTCAAACCTTGGTTGATTTGTTTGAAATTTGGTGGTAGCAAAATATCCTTACAGTGTTCAAGTATCATAGATTTTTAGCTCAATCCAACACGAGGAAGTGTCCCAACAAATTCAAGTGACCCATTTTTGAGTTCTATGGGTCATGGTGACTTGCCATCTTTAGTAATTTATGGTTCTTTGTATTTAGTGTTAGGAGGATTAGAAAGTTACAAAAGTATTCTACTTTTTTATAGTTATAAAAGCATTCTACTTCAACACCTTTTATTAGCACACAGCAACGAGGCCATTGTTTGTAGGCTAGCGGAAGGTTCTTTTTATTGCAGACATTTCAAAACTATTTCATAGCACTAATCAAGATACTTACAAGAAGTCTCTGTCCGCCTACATTTTTCTAATTTCTACTTTATGATGAATTGCTCCTAGTTCAGGTCAAGTATTTCTTGAACAACTCCTTGGAAACAGTAAGAGCATCTCCTTGCGCTTTCACAGGGTAAAGCTCCCTCCCTGCTTGCCATCTGTTTGAAAATGATATCCACTCTCTTCTCCACTCCTCCAACTCAAAGGTAACATTTTCTCTTAAACTTTTCAGCAAGTAACTGAAATAAGTAGAAGCCCTTGGTAGATAGTAGCTTTCTAAAATCCCACTCCAAAACTTATTAGCTGTCATGAATATGAAATAATGTATCACTATCAACATTGAAATATTTGAGACAAGTAATAAAATAAACAATGAGAAACATTTACCATAATCGTGAAGCTTGCTCTGGTTGTTTTGGGTGTTATCATACCACATTGTTACTTGAGTTCTCGCATTCCACTCATACTGGAAAATAAGAATGGGTTTTATCATCTTGAAGTCCCCGAGCAATAAGCAACTATAAAAACAATTAACAAATTGTTTGCTCTCACCTGGATCATCTCTTTGGGATTTTCCGCAAGTCTTTTTGCACTTTCTAACCAAGTTCCCAATAGAAAGTTATCATCACAAGCTAGAAGAGTGTCAATATCCTTGATGAGCTGAGCAAACTTTTGACTCTGAAAATTCAAAGATTTTATGTCCTTCTGTTGAAAAGCAGTCACAGCATCCATGTATACTTGATTTGCTAGTTTGGATAGTACTTGCCGAGTCAAGTCAACCAAGTCATATCTGTCATTATTTGCAATTAAGGAGCAATCATATAATCCACTTGTTTTTGTTGGGTTATGTGGTTAACTTCAACATGAAATGATGATATTTAACTCAAAAAGTAAAATTAACTAGAAATTGAAGAAAATTAATAGGTAGATAATCAGAAAACTGATGTTGAACAAATAATATTATTTTGGAGGTAATTTAAAAATAGTTGTCTAATCATGAAATAGGGTTTTACCTGTATGTAAGGCTTCCAGCAAGATCATTTCCCGCATCAAGAAACAGATGTAAAGCATAAATAACCTCCTCAGTGGAGTACCATAAGTGTGGCTGAGTCAAAAAAGAGATTGTTTCTCTGAAAGAGAATCTTCTGGTTCTATCTCTCATAAAAGGGTTTTGCATCTGTTCTTGCTTTGACAACTCAGCTTTGGGTTTTAATGAGGGATCCCAATCAGGAAATTGAACTATGAAATCTCTGTTATGGTCCTGGCACAGATACAGAAATTAAGAGCAATTAACCATCTTAGTTGTGTTTGAGATAAAACATTGATACAAACTAATGAAACACCTTACAGTTGTTAGCTGCTTCGTTTAAGTTGAATATTACTATTTTCCTTGGATCAATTATATTAGCTCACTGATTAGATTATGGATGTTCTATAGTTTTACCAAATTAGCCAAAATTTACCCCAGGTTTGGATCTTGCAACTTAACCTCCTTAAAGAATAGTTCTTTAAAAGTATCTGAACAATACATCCAAAGTCTATGATGTGGCCCTGTCATGCAAGAATATGTTTAACACTTGATTTAAATAGCTCCAATAGCTTTTGTTAATTCAGCACTCCAAAAAATATTTACATGTACTATGGATCTCCAAAGCAATAATATGAAGATCAGTCTTGGAAGTGTAGTTAGTGAATGGTAAATAAGTGCTTAAAAAGAGGTTATTTAAGTAGCTAGTGAATCCAAGCATAAGAAATACAAGTACTTGTATTGTAAGTTGGGAACAAAAGAAGGTGAGAAAGATGTCTACTTACAGAAGGGTGGGAAGGAAAACTAGGAGTCTAGATCATGTTAAGTGAATCAAGAACAGTGGCCAGAGAACCGTGGTAAAGGACATGAGGTTAAGGAAAGGTAAAATGCTATTCGAAGACATTACTAAAAGATGATCATGCAAAGGGATTAGAAGTAGGTAGAGTGCATACCAAAAGAGAGACCAAAGGGGCATATTATTGTAGGACTAAGGTAGCAGAAGTGAAGAAAACTTTGTCAAAATGAATGAAGGAAAGACCTTGGAACCAGATGGAATACCTATAGAGCTTTGGAAGAATAAGGGAGCCTTTCAGCATAAGTTTTTTGACAAAATTGAAAAGACTAAGAAAATCCCGGATGAATGAAGCAAAAGAATCTCAAAACTATAATTACATTAAAATCTTGGAACTTTCCATCTTTCATCCCATTACTCACCATTTCTTTCAATTAGAAACTATAGGCATAAACTAATTAACATTTTCTACTAACTTCTATACAATAGAAATGAAGTGCTAGATGGTTATAACCAGATACACTAGTAATTGGCAATAGAAGAAAAGGATAAAAAAGGCACTTCAGTGTTTTATAGAACTAATGGCATTACTGCAAGGAATGAGGTTGGGAAGCTCCCTGAACTTCAAAAACAATTGAGGTGGAAGGAGATTTAAAGGTGATAGTGGGCTGGTTCAAAAAACAAATGTCCAAGGACATGGCAATAGAAAAAGCAGCAAGACACTTTGGCAAGGCAACTAAGAATAGCATTCACCTTGACCCACAGTTGTCTTGTGGGCTTCTCTCTTTGTGTAGCTTTATCATTGCAGTTTATTGTTCCTAGCTTTGTTTTTCCCTATTGGGTTTAGCAACCTATAGAGTCCTTTCTGTGTTCTAGAATGTCCTAGTTCTTTTATTAATGAAATTCCCTTTTCAGAGATTGAAAGATTAAAAAAATGAAAGGAAGAAGAAAAGAAGATTTCTATAGACATAGCTCTAGCTATGTCCTTAATTAATTCATTCAGAGAACATACTGCAATTCCATCCGTACAGTTGTATATTGTGCGATAAAGAATTCCCCAAGCTTCCTCCATTTGATGGACTGCTTTACCATAACGTCGTTGAGAGTAGGTTGTCACCCATTCCTGCTTGAGAAAAATAAATAAATCCATACTGTTTACAACTACAACATCAAAATATCACAGTAAGGCATACTTCTTTAAAACATGCTAATTGATTCATTACATTCTGCACTTGACATTAATATAGTGATAATTACTTATAAAGGCATCAAACAACTGAAGAAAGGATGTGTGTGTGTGTGTGTGTGTGTGAGAGAGAGAGAGAGAGGGAGGGAGGGAGAGAGCAAATTGAAGATGAGAGTTGTATGAGGCAAGGCCTATGGATAATGCACTGAGGTAACCTTGAGCTCAGCCTACCTCACACCTTAAGATGTCTTATGTTGATAACAAGTTTCCCATGCATTAACTAAAATAGGCTTCTCATTACAAAAGTTGATGAAATATTAACTTTTTTCTTTTTAATATATTTTAAATATTTTTTTATTACATTTAACATATTTAGTGATTTCAGAAACATCTTGAGATTTTATTCTACAGAAAAATCTTTTAATAGGTGATCAAGCACTCCCCCCCCCCCCACACACACACAAACATACAAAAAAAAAAAACCTTCTAGGGCATTGTGACATTGTTTAGTTGATAGCTAAAACTTATTGCCTTTTAACCAGGGAAGGGTTTAATCAGGAATTGTTACTTCAGGAATCAGATATGCCAGGATAGTCTTTGTTGTACCACTATTTTGTTTCTATGTGACTTGTGACTTGTGCTGTTAACCCCTCAAGGTTCTGACTCTCCTGTAGTAGTTTTATAGTAAGATTCTTATTCATCCTGCTGATGCACTTGATCTTGGAACCAACTAAAAGAATCACAGCTTTCCATTATGTTAAAAGAAACAAAATAAGTAGATCTTGATTGAGACATTTTTACATGATACTTAAAATAATACAGTCCATATTTCCATGAATATTCCCATACTTCTCTCATTTCAATTCTTGTTTCTATAGAGGTAATTGTGAATTGCCCTAAACCATCTCTTATAGCATTGGGTTGTGTTTTCACTGATACTTATGCAACAAGCTGTCTAGAGGAATGGGAAAACTTGTTGTATTTGGAATGTTTGGGATAGCCTTGTCCAACCAAAGGTGGAAGCATCCATGTAGTTATCAGCCTTTGAGAAAAATCTAACAATGGATCAACTAAAAGAAAGAAGAATATATATATATATATATATATATATATATATATGACAAGTTGGTCCATGGATATGCTGGAAGGCTAAAAGTGGTTTTACATTGTCATAGATGGGGAACTTAGAGATTCTTCCAGTTGATATTGAGAGGTGGAATGGTGGGATCCTGATGTCTTAGTTGATGGAGAATGGTTTCAGTTGCTGTTTTGTGGAGAAATTGTGACAGGTGTGATCATAGGTTACTGAAAAAGTTTCCTGCCCCACTCCAATTCTCTGAAGATATTCTATCACATGTATCCTCTATTTCTTGTATCACATATTAGATTTGTGTCTAATGGATTTCCAAGGTATGAAAAGGGTAGACTTCATTAAAGATTAGGAAATGTTGAACACGACATATATGTGCCTTTATACTCATTTTTTGTCATTTTGGATAGCCAATTTGTTCTATAAGGGTATCTTATACTCTCTTTCAAATTTCCATATTATACCCAGTGAAATATTTTTGTTATTGATAAAAATGGGACGCCTATGATGCACACTTCCATTTTGCCCATCCTACTCTAATTCTATAGGTCACATCAAATCCCTCCCTTCTTATGGATTATTGAACCAAAGTAACAGAAGATCAAATTTAATTATCTCTTGGTCTCCAATCCTAGTTGTACCCTGATTTGCACTTCTATTATTATTAAATTTACATTGCATATATTCTGTTTTACTCCTACATATTTTAAAACCTACTGTTTCTAAGGTATTTGTCCATAAAATTAATTTTGTGTTCAATCCTTCATTAGTTTCATCAATTGTTTACAACATCAGCAAACAACAAGCACCATGGGACCTCCTCTTCGATATGTTTAGTCAATTCATCCACGACATGGAAATAAATAAGGACAGCACTGAGACTTGGTGAAGAACCACCATAAATATAAACCTTGACATCTCTTGGAGACTCAAACTAAGTGTTCTAACATTAGTTGTTACACCCCTCATAGATATCCTTAATTAGGTCTACCTATTTACTCCTTTCTTTTCTAAAACCAACCATATTATCTCTCTAAGGGCTCTATCATTTGCTTTCTCTAATCTACGAATACCATATAAAGATCTCTCTTCTTCTCTTTAACATTTTCCATCAATTGTCTCAATAGAAAGATGGCTTCCATAGTTGATCTCCCTGGCATAAACCCAATTGGTTTCCTAATACACTTGTTTCATGTCATAACCTTTGCAAGCACACCAGGTCTTTATGCCTTAATCGATGATGGAAAGACACCAAATCACACCATGCAACTCATCTTCAAGGCATGTAGCAGTTCACACCATTTGGTCAGCTATTTTTTCCCCATGTAAATAAATAGATAGATATATACTTAACATAGCGTAAAAGAAACCCTGTCTTGGCTGTTGGCATTGGATATTTCTCTTCCAAGTCCTTAAACATTCTCCTAGCACATTCCTCTCCCCAATGTGTGTGTGCATGTGTGTACAGTCATATATATGCTGACAAACAAACAGAAGAATCCCTAAAATTTAATTGAGTGTAACTGGATTTTCAGAAATCCTGTCTTGGCTGTTGGCATTGGATATTTCTCTTCCAATTCCTCAAACATTATCCTAGCACATTCCTCTCCCCAATGTGTGTGAATGTAAAGTCATATATATGCTGACAAACAAACAGAAGAATCCCTAAAATTTAATTGGGTATCTATGGCACCTTGGTGCATGATATAGAAATAAATACAGTGTAAGACAATAAGGATGAACTGTCAAAAGCTTGTAGCAAGAGAAAAAAGATCAGTCTCTGCATCTCCCTAACAAAGTTTTTCTCTCTTTTATAGATTAGTCACAGTGATATGAAACATATCATTACTTGACAGAAAATACCATCACAAAAATGAGCAAAAAGATAGAAGTGGATACTTCATTAAACAAGGCCATAGTAGTAGGAACAAGAAAGAAGAAAATATCATGTCTATAGAATATTAGAGTTGATCCATAGCTTTTACCACACTAATGGGAAAAATAACAGTATGCATCTATTGGAAAATTGAATTACCTGCAGTTGGACTTTTTCAGTTCGAAATGCCATCTCAGACATAAGTTCATAGACAATTGGATTTTGCTCTATTCCTTCCATGCACATGCCAACACCAACCTATGAGAAACAAAGATGGTGAGAAAATCCCTGTAGTTGGAACTGTTTAAGAAAAAAAGGACAACAACATGTGGACTCTCTATCTATTTATCTGTAAGGACATAGCTGGGGGAAATCACCCCCCCCCCAGATGGCCCAAAAAGGTTTTGAGAACATCTTTGTACAAGTTGGGGGTGATAGGAAGGAGGGACACATCCTGTTAGAAATTTAGAATTAGCATCCTTTTGTATGTGTTGAGATCAGGCTGATAATATTTGTTTTTTTTTTTTTAATTTTAAAGTTTAGCTAGAGTTATTGGGCCTAAGGCCCATTAGTTTATGTTTAGTTAAGAGTGTTTACTTGTGTTTTTAGCAATAGCCGACTTACTAAGGGTATACTTGTCATTGTATTCATTTTTAATTATGAGTATATAAGATAGTGAAAGGGGTGGCCAGATCACTTCTTTTAGCTTCTCCCCACTCTCTTCAGCCTTACTCTTCTTCTCTTCTCTGCACAAACTTTTCCTTTTTCTTCTTTTTATCACAGATTTCAAATCAGATCATATTTATTGCACTTTCAACTGTATGTACAGTGGTTGCTACCCAAAGAAGAATTCTAAGGTCAAGTAGGAGATTCCCCTACATGACCTACCTTATTTCTGCTACATGAACATATAGTATGGGAAATCAAACCATCCACCAAGGGGCCTGAATCAGCCATGTGTTTGATTCACCAACAATATCAGCCCATACCCCACCTTGTATTCGTCAAAGGGCCATTACATAATGATGGTCCTAACTATTCAGGGTCTTGGGAGGGGCAGACTAATATGGACCTAACCTTTGACACTTTTTGCAAGTGGCAACTCTCAGACTTGATTTTGGACTCCCATGCTTGTCAGCCTGAGGTTTCATCATTGTACTAAGTAATGGCCAGCCCATACCCACCTTGTATTGGTCACAACTAATATTAGCCAGTCAGAACTTCAAATTTACCCATAAAAAGGGCTTATCTTGAACCCATGACAAGGTCTTCTAGGCCAAAAGTTGTTCAATGAATATAGAATGGGGAGAGAAACGCTGGGAGTCCTTTTGGGCTCTGAAACCAATCATTGTGATAGGTTCCTGGATTGTTTAGACTTCACCGAACAGACTGATAAGCAGAACTATTCCCATTCATACACATAGCAAGTAATCAAAATTTCAGTTTATACAAGTGTAGGGGTGCATAAAAAGATTCTTTTCAGCAATGTTGACAGTAAACCATCTAGGACTCTGAAACCAATCATCATGTGATAGGTTCCTGGATTGTTTAGACTTCACCGAACAGACTGATAAGCAGAACTATTCCCATTCATACACATAGCAAGTAATCAAAATTTCATTTTATACAAGTGTAGTGCATAAAAAGATTCTTTTCAGCAATGTTGAAAGTAAACCATCTAGGACTCCCAAAAAGGGGGGCCATCTAAAAAGTAAATCCCTTCTCTTAAACAAATCAAACAAATCAAGGACTTTAAGAGATAAGGCCCAGTCCATAATGAGACTACTAGTATCCAAACCAATGTTGTAAGGCTCAGACCAGACACAAAACCATAAACTTTTCCAGGTCATGGACCAAGCGGTTCAACTGCTAGGTCAACCCAGTGAACCATAGCATCAAAAATAAAAATATGAATAAAAATCAAAATGCAAAAAAAAAAAACTAAAAAAATACATAAAGATAGAAAAATATATATTTAACAAGCATATGTCTAAAAGTAAATTATATCATAGCAAGTTACCAACAAATATAGAATTTCATGATTTCATCAACATGACATATCACGGATCATAATCACACTAGCACAACATATAAATAAAACTAATAAAATATAAGTAAAATAGTTCCAACTTCCAATATTTGGTTTAGGGTTCTTTATGTTTTCCCTTTATTGTATAGTTCACATTAGATTATGGACGGTATACAGTTGAGAATTGAGATTGAGTTGAGTTGAAACACTTACACAGTTCAATCTGGGATGGTTCATGTTAAAACTGTCGGGCAAAAACCATGTGGTTTTATAAAACTCAGACAGTCTAACTGGGAGCCCAATGAGTGTTTCTAATAACTGGAATGCTTTCCGGTTCCCAGTTCTCACGCTCCAACCTTACAGTCCTGTCTAAGTCTTACAACATTGATCCAAGCAAAGACTGAGAAGATCTTGATCCTTTCCTTGAAAAATACAAGGTCCCCTCTCTTTCCAAATACACCAAGAAAATAGCTCCATGAACACTGGACCATAATATAGCATTTCTAGCACCAATCACTACATAAGGTTATGACCTAAGGACCTTCTCAATGGAATAAGACTGACCTAGAGGAGTCTAACAAAAAATTGAAGAAACCCAAAAGAAGGGTAATCACAGGGCAAAGCAAAAACAAGTGACCAATGGATTCCTCTTCCCTTTTACACACCCAACACCTATTTGGGATAGCCATCTCTGTTGTTCAGGTGGTCTATTGTATATTTGTATGAACCTTATCCAGCAATAATATCTACATAAAAGCTTCAATTTTAGGATGGACAGAAAATGTTAACATGTTCCACTTTCCAGTCCATTTCATCCCTTTAGCCGTCTTATCAGAAAAAATAAAGGTAATGCTAACTCATACAGCAGAGAAATGTTTCATTAGTCTCCCTAGACAATAGGTGTCTTCTAATGCTTTGTTTGGTTTGAAAGAAAAGATAAGGAAAGGAAGGGAAAGGTAGGTGTAGGTACATAGTGGTTGCTCAGACCATCAGAGCACAGAAGGTGTCGAATTAATACCACACAGAAGGTAGGTGTAGGTACATAGTTTTGAGACACCATGAGCCATGGGTCTATACTCAGCCTCTGCACTTGACCTTGCCACAACCGCTTGCTTCTTACTCTTCCAGGAGATCAAGTTTCCACCTACAAAGGTACACACTCCTGATGTA